CGAGCGTTTAGAGTCGATCTAGGGTCCGTGTGATACATTGCGTTATCCTACGGTGCTTCGCTCACTCGATACCGACCACCCAGCCCTATTGAAGGCCCAAGATGTTGTACATTCTGTCTCCATTCCGAGGATCATTGGATTGGAGGAGGCCTCCTGCGAAGGACAGGACTCCTCGCCTGGTTTGTTACCCCGCGCGCAGGAGCGAGATCGCCCGGTGTGTCGAGAACGCCCCATGTGCCGATCCCTCCCCACCCTGACCGCTTCTTCATGGCGCCACCACGCTTACCCCAACCCTAACCCTAACCCTCTCGAACTCTATTGACAGGTTTACATCCTACTCACGGTGTGGGAGACCGCGCTCGTGGCGTTCGAGTACGCCCCCCCCCTCCGCCCTCTGCGGGGCACCCGGTCCTTCTTGGTCCTCGTGGCCGCCTTGCTCGCAGTCTCGCCGTCTGTGCTCTCGGCGTGTCGTTGCTGTTGGCGGCGGGCGGGGAGGAGGAGGAGGAGGAGGGATCGGCTTGGGACGATGATGGTGGTTGAAGAGTCGGCTTGGGACGATGGCGGCGGCGGCGGTGGCGGCGGCGGCGGCGATGGTTGGAGCCTTTGGTGGAGGTGCCGGTGGCATCCGCTACGTCGACCGCCGCTGCCTCCACAACCGGCATCAGTAGCAGGCCCTTCCGATGGGAACCGATGCTACTGGGACAGCCGTACTGTGCCGCCGCCGTCGTCGCCGTCGTACACTGCCGCTGCTGCTGCTGCTGCTGCTGCTGCTGCTGCTGCTGCTGCTGCTGCTGCTGCTGCTGCTGCTGCTGCTGCTGCTGCTGCTGCTGCTGCTGCTGCTGCTGCTGCTGCTGCTGCTGCTGCTGCTGCTGCTGCTGCTGCTGCTGCTGCTGCTGCTGCTGCTGCTGCTGCTGCTGCTGCCGCTGCCGTTACTATCGCTATAGCGGCCGGCCTAGCGCTCGGCGCACCGTCAACCTCGGTATCATCCTCCGCAGCAACAGCAGCAGCATGTCGCAGCAACGCGCGTTTACGACCAGGCAGCAGCAGCAGCAGCAGCGGCGGCAGGAGCAGGCAAGGCGCGGTTTCGACCTCCGCGGGGGCGGTAGATTTGGACGGGCTTGCTGGCGCGGGGCGCGATTTGCTTGCCGCCGGCAGCGAGCTTGCGGATGCAGCGTCTAAGGTAACTACGCCAGACGCCAACCATCGCAACCACAAACAACAACCGCAGCCACAACAGCAACAACAACGACGACGACAACAACAACGACCAAAGTAATGTTACTTCGGCAGAATTGTGCTTGCAGTTTTTTGGGCATCAGCACAAACCACAGCTCAGCCGGGGGCGAGGGAAATTGACGGCACGCGCTCCCTGCTGCTCCGAACAGCAATCAATCGTGTCGCCACAGAGACGGGTTGGTCCAATCATCTTGTTTTCGTAGCTTTACCAACGAGAACAGTCCCGAAGCCGTGTGGGGACCGGGTTCGATCCAACGAGTTTCATTTTCGTACCAAAATCAACCAACAAGCAGGCGGTGAGAGTTGTGAAGTTGGCAGTGGCGTGGGAACGGCGGCGATTCCGTCAAAATCTGCTTCATTTTCGTTTCAACACGGATGGTCCAGCAGTCGTGCGGGAATGGGTCGATCCAGTCAATCTGTTTCAAATATTGTATCGACACAAACCGTCCAGCTGGTTGAGGATGTCCGTGGATCTATTTTTTTTTTTTTATCAACGCGAAGCGTCCAACAGGCTGAGGATGTCAACGGATGAATATATTGTTGTTTTTTCCCCGGCACGGACCATCCCCTGGATCCAATCTTTTTTTTTTGTTTTTGTGCCAACGTCAACCGGCGAGCAGGCGGTGAGGGTGGTGAACTTCGCAGTCGTGTAGTAACGGGCCGACCCAATGGATCTCGTTCATTTCTGTACCCAAAACGAACCGTCCAGGTCAGGTGGGTTAGATTGTCCTATACCAACACAACCCCCCCACTGGATCCGATCGTTTTTTTTGTTGTTCCGCCATCAGCCAACCCGAAGGCGGTGAGGGTGGTGAACTTCACAGCGTGTGGGTACGGGTAGATCCAATGTTTCTTTTTTCATATTTTTCCAACATGAACAGTCCGTAGTCACGTGGGAACCGGGTTCGATCCAATGAGTTTCATTTTCGTACCCAAATCAACCGGCCAGCAGACGGTGAGGGTGGTGAACTTCAACGTGTACATGGGCTACGACCGAAGGGGGGAGGACAATACCTTCCGGGTGGGCAGGCTTCTGAAGGACCTTGAGGCCGACATCGCCGGATTGCAGGTGGATTTCGTTGTTGTTGTTGTCGTGGTCGTTGTCGTTGTTGCTGTTGATACTGTGTTGTTGTTTGGTGTTGCGGCTGTTTGTTGTGGTCTTTGTTGGTGTTCTTTTTGTTGTTGTTCTTCGGCTGTTGTTGTTGCTTTTGGGGTCGCTGTTAATGTTGATGGTGATGTGGCTGCTGCTGCTCCTGTTGCTGTTAATGTTCTTGATGATGCGGCTGTTTGTTGTGGTCGTTGTTGCTGTTGTTCTTCTAGTTGTTCGTGATGTTGGTGGCCGTTGTTGCTTCTGCGGTCGCTAGTGTTGTTGACCAAGCGGTGTTGATTGTTGTGGTTGCTGCTCTTGTTGTTTTCGTTGGCCTGAGGGCGGAAACGATGTTGATTTTTATACCAAACCAATCGCCCTTGCGCATCGCGCGCCCGCCTAGGCAGAGGCATGTATCGCAGTTTTTGGAGTGTCGCGTTTCAGATACCGTACGTAACATGCCGTAAGATACCATACCTCTCCCTGGGAGCAATACTTTGAGGACGCGTGGTCAATAGTCTAACCGCTAAGGCACGCACAACATGCGTACCCCTCAGATATACCAGTGTCTCGGGTGGGTTGTAGGCCACCGGGCTGATGCCACCACAGCATCCAATCCAGTGCGAATCCCCCCGCCGAACGCTCTCCCTGGGAACACTGCTCCATGCGCTCGAGGGCGCGTGATAAATGGTCTAACCGCTAAGGCCTGCAAGCCTGTATGAGTACACCCCCCTCCCCCTCCGAAATCGAAACCATCGTATGGTAGGCAGCACAATGCTCTGGCCTCTTGAGGATGCGTGGTCTATGGTCGTGATACATTGGGCATGCAAAACATGCACACGCTACCCTTGCTATTCCCCCCCCCCAAACAACTAAGACATGCAAAAACATGGCCACCCCGCCCCCCGCGCGCCTTACTACGGCATGCACGGCTCTAAATACACGCCGACCTCCCACTCCTAGAATATCACTATCTTGGTCGTTTGTGTCTTTAGGAAACCGGGCTGATGCGATTGACCCTGGGCAACCGACACTACCCGGGGGCGGTGGCGAGGTCTGCGGGGATGATGCTGGCCGCGGCGGCGCCGGTGGCGGAGGATACCTGGGGCTGCGCGATCTTGTCACGCCTTCCGGTGCTCAGGTGGGCACAGAGATGAGGCGGTCAAATCATACACGTTTTTTTTTTATTTGTATTTCACGTTTTGTGGGCCTCTTTTTTCGTTGTGTGTGTCTTTGTTGTTTGCATCGACTGCGCTAACCGACTGACCAGTGAAAAGCCGTCAGTCCTCAGTGCGTTGTGTGTGTGTGCGCGCGCGTTTTAGGCGGTGTGCGGGTGCTCAGGTGCGCACTTAAGACGAGGCAGTCGAGTCCGTCATTCAGTGTGTCTAGCTTCTGCACGTTTCTGATTTATTTTTTGTTGCGCATGCAGTGGTCTGTTTTGTTTGTGTTTTCGATTCGGCCGTGTGTGCGTAAGAACCAATGACACACCGCACACAGAGAGAGATATGGTATGATGAAGCCCTCTCGTGCCTGCGCGTACCGTACCTTCGACACAAGAGAGACACCCTCACAAGATCACACAGCCCCCCCCACAGTGTAATCACCCGATAGTATTTTTTTTTTTTGCGCCAAGTTATCCCTGGGGTGTGCCTTCTTGATTCGTACCACGGTACGTACCAGGGTACGATGCAGTTGAGTACCGTATACGGCACAAGATAGCACCCCCTCACAGTTTATTGTTTTTTTGGTCTTCACTTCGAATCAGCGCTCACAGCACTGGTGCCGTTTACTCCGACCCGTGGTCACACAGAAGAGCCCCTCTCTACCCTCCCCTCCTGGGGTACTTTGCCTTCGATTTTTAATGCGAGAAGAGTTCAACACTCTCTTCCCTCTGTGTACACACGAACTTGTAGCGCTATCCACTAGGCCAGGAGCGGAAGCGAGAGAAAAATTCACTTTGCAAGAAAATCTCGCTTGCGCCGGGATTCGAACCCCTGACCTGACCGCTAGAAGACTCCGAGATTACCAGTTAGACCACCGGGGCGACCGGCGGCATAGTGTAAAAGCCAGATAATTTTTCTTTTCACCTGAAGAGTTTGTCCCCGGGACGTGTTTTATTGCTTTGTTTGCGGTACTCCAAGTAACCTGTGAACAACCTCTCCAGTGGAAAGTACCGCAGGAGGGGTGGGTAGGTAGGGGGTCTCAGGGAGAGCAACCCTTCCGTGTGACCACGGGTTCGAGGGACCAGCACAACAAGTGCTGTGAGAGCTGATCTGAAACGAAGACAACCAACAAACAAGAAAGAACGTCGAGCCTGTTGCAGCGTGGCGCGGACAGCCCTTGCCGTCGTACATCGACGCCGCTCGGTTCACACGTGCCGGAAGATGCCCGAGGAACATCGCCCCGCTCTTACCATTTCTTGTCGTGTCGATAGGCCTGTAAATTTCTCCGTAGGCGATTTTTTTTTTTTTTTGCGATTTAGATATACCATCTTTCCCTCCACCATTTTCAGTATTTTAACAAAAATCGACAGCGAAAATATCAGGAAACCGCCTACGGAGTACAGGCCTACAACCGTTTTGATCTTCTTGCCACCGCGTGGTTTTGCAGCTGGGGGTGGAAGAGGCTTCCGAGGGGCCCGGGGGAGAACGCCTGCGAAGTTCACGCCACCCTGTCACTGGGGGAGGGGATGGGGGTCGCGACCGTTGTTAACGTGCACCTCGGCAACGAGGGCGATACCGAAAAACAGGTGGGTAAAAAAATGTTTGTACAGCATCTTGTGGTCCGGCCACGTATAGGAGGGCGATACCGACGTGGGCAAAAATATTTTGTACAGTTTTTCGTGGGCCGGCCCTGCATAGGAGGGCGATACCGAGGTGTCTGTACAGGCGGGCCCTGAATTGTAGGGCGGTACCGAGGTGGGTAACAAAGGTCTGTACAGGCGGGCCCTGAATAGTAGGGCGATACCGAAGAACAGGTAGGTGAAATGTTTGTACAGCAGTGGTGGGCCGGCCCTGTATTGTGTCGGCCGAATAGTGACGTGTACCCGGTGGTTTCGTCTCACACGCACTGAACCACCAAGTCGTTCTGTACTTTGAATAGTGCCGGTGTCCTATAGAGTGCCGGAAAAGAATCTGCAAACACATACCGGCACTAAAAAGGGACCTCTACCGTAAAATACTACGGTGGTGGGTCCTGAATAGTGCTGGTCGAATAGTGCCGGGTGTCCGGTGTAATGCCGGTGTTATCGGCTGACACACACTGAAATGAAATACGAAGCCGTGCTGTACATTGAATACTGTACACGGCACGAGAGAACGCACCCCCTGGACTGATTTTTCAAAGCTCGATTTATCAACAGCAGAAAGAGTCACACACAGCGCCGAAAACGGTGGCGTCGAAGCCGTCTGGTCTAGAGCTCTCCGAAAGCGTATCGTTTCGTGGATGCATCCTCTTCATCGTGGAGCAATCGACCTTTGAAACAGGTTCAGGGGGCGTCTTATCTCGTGCCGTATACGGTGGTCCCGGTTTCCGGTATAAGTGCCAGAAAAAATTCTGGATGCATACCGGCAGTATACAGGGCCCCTGCTAGGCCCTTGCTGTATCACAAACTGGATTTTAGCTTGTATCACAAGCTGTTTCTTTTTTTTTTATCACAAGCATGTAGTTTCGATCACAAAAAGGGCATGTTTGTATCGCAAACACAGGTGTGTTTGTATCTCAAAGCAGGCGCCCTTGCATATCAAGTCAACGCTTTTTAGGTAAATGTGCGTGTCACAAACTGGTGCACCTGTATCAACTAGTCAGCGGTAATTACCGTATATGACACAAGATAACACACCCCCTTGACCGATTTTCGAAGCTCGACTTCTCAACTGCAGGAACAGCCACAGCGCCAAAAACGGCGGCGTTGAAACTGCTCGTCGACAGCTTTTCGAAAATGTTTCATTTCGTTTATGCATCCTCTTCGTCGTGGAGTAACCGAGCTTTGAAAAATGGTCCAGGGGGTGTCTTATCTTGTGTCATATGCGGTATTTGGAGCATTTGTCATGGCTGCCGTCGTCCTTGTAAGGAGACGTTGTGAGCGTAGACAACCTCGTCGCCAGCCGATCAACCACGCCTCGGGCTGGCAGGGGGGAGGGAGGGGGTAAGCTTAGCTTTTGAGAAAGCAGCAGCATCCTCGCAAGACTCCGATAATGTTTGAGGATGCTGCTGCTTTCTCGAAAGCTAAGCTTCCCTCCTCCCTCCCTCCCGCCAGCCTGAGGGGTGGTTGATCGCCTGGCGATAGGTTTGTCGACTTTCGCACCGTCTCCTTCGAGAAACAAACTGAGAGAAAAAAACAACACAGCGAAACAGTAGTCGTAGACCACCACATGCGTGCCCGCGTCTCCTTCGACCCCCTCCGTCGTCCGTCATTTTTCTAGACGACGAACGGGGTAGATCACCGAACCCGAAAGACGCGAAGAAGGCTTGGAACAATACAACGATGTTTTCTTACGCCTAGACGTCCAAACTCGGCTGACGGAGAAGCTGTTAGTACATATATTTACGGGGACACATTGTTTGGAATTAAATGTTGGCAAGGTTTGTTCGGGACATTTGCATACGTTCGCCAGGATATGCGGTACAGTGTCGCATTTTTTGGTGGAAAAAAGCGAAGTGTTGTGGAATGTTTGAAGCGGACGGCGTGCTGTTCGTCTTGTCTCCTTGAAGTTGAGGAAAGGCGCAACTGCCAGTTGGTCCCGAAAAAATACCACGGTGTGATGAAAGCTAAGTACGGCGCAGTCCTAGAAGGCGCCGTCCCTCCCATAGCTGCATAGACTCAACACGACGAGTGGATTGCTCTTACCTGGGCCGACGAAGAAGCTATTTAGCATAGCACTCGCTCGTCCCGCCGTAACTTTGATCGACACGAATTTCTAGCGGAACCGGAGCAGGAGGCCTCACTCAACCAAATCTAATACTTGCAGTGAATGATTTGGGTGGGGGCCAAGAATTCAAGCAGGAAACAAACGTGCAAGAGCAAAAAAGAACCCGATGTCCGTCCGCACAGTAGAATGAGCGGCAGCGTCGACACATGGTGACGTTGAGGAGCCGTCTCGTCCAGAGAGCTTTCCGATAAGTAATATCGTTGCATTTGTGCGTCGTTTCCCGTTGTGGAGAAAAAGCCGAGCTTTGAAATCGGTCCGGGGTGTGTGTAATCTTCCGTCACCTACGGTGTGCCAGGGGTTTCGCTACCTCGGAGTAGAGATGGTGCCCAATCCCTTCTCCGGACGGATGCTTGGTAGCCATCAACGCCCTTCAATACAGTAAGTCGCAAATGAGGATGCTCATTCTCCCTGCCCCCCGTCCTATACGGTCTGAAGACTTTACGCGACCATGCGGGGAAATTTGAGACTTGTACCCTCCCCCACTCAGAACGATTGGCCATCAGTGTGTTGGTCTTGTGGGAACAATGCTCCGTCCTCTCGAGGACGCGTGGCCAAAGGGTCCAACGAACAGCCACACATGGTGCGCAAACCATGAGTACGACCTCCCGCCAGTCGTCAGATTCATCTCTTTACGACCGTGCCAGGCCGACAACAACGACTTCGCCAGACAAGAATATCCTCGCAGTCCCCCCCCGAACAATCGCACTCCCCCGCATGTCCGCACTCGTCCCCCCCCCGCTCCCCTCATCGTGGCGTCTCCCGTTCGCCTCTTCTTAGGTGACCGGTCTCCTGTCGCTGCTTGAGGATCTCCGCGCGGGAAATCTACGAACGAGAGATCTACGAGAGCGAGACGGCATCCGCAGAGACCAACACATGCCGAAGACGAGCAACCAGCGACGGCGGAAACTCCGAAGAAAAAAAGGAGAAGATCTCGCGGTACGCGGCTTGGACGAAGATCGGAGACTGCTGATCGTTGTCGGAGACTTCAACTTCGAATCCACCTCGTCCGGTTACAGGCGCATGGTATCCGAGGGCGGTCTTCAATCCGCCGCAAATGTTTCCGCCGAAGCAGCAGAAGCAGAAGCGACAGGCTGGTTTCCCCCCGCAACGGCTTCTAATTTCCCCGCAATAATTCCGAATTATCCCGTGAAGGTCTATCACCCCGCACCGAAACTAGCGGACGATGGCGTCGTCCCCGACAAACGCGAGGTACTTCGGAGCCTTGTCGGTGACGGTGCTGCCGCTGTCAACGCTAGTGAAGGTGTCGCAGGTGGTGTTGAAAACGATGGTCACCGCAATGATGCCCTTGGTGTTGGCAGCGGTAGCGGTGGTGTTGTTGATGACTTCGACGATGGAGACGTTGTCGGCGGCGTTTCGGTTCGTGTCGGTGGCGGTGGGAACAACGGTGATGCTGCTGCTGCTGCTGCTGCTGCTGCTGCTGTTGGCGAGGGAGGCAATGAGAGTGGACACCTTTGTTGCCGGAGACGCTGACAACAGAGGCGCCCTAGATTTCGTTTTTTTTTCTGCCGGAGGCGGCGGAATCTCGTGCCGGAGCTACGAGGTCCACCGAGAGTTTTCCCAGGAGCGGTACGCGGACGGGTATCCCTCCGTCGCCGAGTTCGAGGTCTCGTGCCCCCCGCTTGCTCCGGAGTGAGACCACAAAAAAACACAGGAGCAGCGATTCGTTGCGGTGCGTGTTAAAAAGCACGAAGGTCAGGTGGACTTCCAGCGGGCACGATGGCTGTTGTTTTTCTCGGGAACGGTATGCGGATGGCAACCCTTCCGTCGCCAAGTTCGTAGATCTCCCGCCCCTCCCTGGCGCTGGAGTGACCACCACGCAAGCACGGGAGGATGAGCGGTTCATGTTGAAAAGCACGATGACCTCTGAACTACCAGCGGGCACGATGACTGGTGGTTTTCCCAGGAACGGTACGCGGATGGCTATCCTTCCGTGGCCGAGTCCGTAGGTCTCCCGCCCCTCCCTGGCGCTGGAGTGACCACCACGTGATCAAAACACAGGAGCAGCGACGCGTAGCGGTATATGCTGAAAGCACGATGACCACGTTGATGAGTCGGCCGCTGAACGGCAGTCCAGTGTTTTTTTTTACGTGGTTCACCACGGTGCTTTCCGAGCTTTGTCTCAAAAGTTACGATAAGTTCCCGAGGAGTCAGAGCGGCGGGCTCTTCCGCTTGCTGCCTCTTCTGACTGTTAGCTGTAATTCTTTTACCTGACGGCATGTAGATACGTCGTCCTATTTTATATCTTTTCGTCTGTACAGTACGGATACTTTGGAAGGTAGTGAGCGGAGACCAGGACGGTTTTTTGATGTGAACAGGACAACGACAGCAGGAACAACTGTTTCGTGTATGTGCGGCGTTGGTAAAGAGCATCACTTTTTTTCTTTTTTTCTTTTTGCCGTGAACACGGCATTGATCGACTGGTGCCAAGCCGACCACCGACGGCTGACCTAGTGAGAAAACATTCTGCCAATCCTAACGCCTGCCATAACAGACTCCCCCCCCGTCGTGTTGGTCTGCAAGCAAGCGGCGTGCACTGTTTTTTTTCGGGCTTGCCGTGGCGAAGTCACCAAGCGTGTGTGGTAGATATATGTAGCATGCAGGTGGTAGATAGATGTAACATGCAGCATTTTGGCCCGGCAATTAGCGAAGGCATGGCTTAGGTGGCAGATAGATGTGGCACGCAGCAATTGTTTTCAGGCATAAGAGTGAACGCATCGGGGGTGCGGCAGACAGGGTTAGCATGGCGAGTTTGGAGGCGCTTCAGAGGAACCTCAGCGCGCAAACGAACGGCCAGCGACACACATCGGCATATGTCAAGCATATTTCAGCGCTTCACATCGTGTGCCATCTGCTGCTATGATGGCGTACGTGTAGACATGTGAGTGAGTTCAAATGAATATTTGCGGTAGAATATGCTGGTTCTTCGAGCCGAAGGGCGTTTCCGTTGAGGCTGTCCAAGCGTGTCTGAGCGCGCAAACGAACGGCCAGTTATCCTACTGTGGCCAACGACACACATCGGCATATTTCAAGCATGTTTCAGCGTCATCACATCAGTGCCATCTGCTGCTATGATGGCGTACGTGTAGACGTGTGAGTGAGTTCAAATGAATATTTGCGGCAGGATATGCTGGTTCTTCGAGCCGAAGGGCGTTTCCGTTGAGGCTGTCCAAGCGTGTCCGAGCGCGCAAACGAACGGCCAGTTATCCTACTGTGGCCAACGACACACATATTTCAAGCATATTTCAGCGTCGTCACATTATGTGCCATCTGCTGCTCTGATGGCGTACGTGTGGACATGTGAGTGAGTTCCAATGAATATTTGCGGTAGAATATGCTGGTCCTTCGAGCCGAAGGGCGTTTCCGTTGAGGCTGTCCAAGCGTGTCCGAGCGCGCAAACGAACGGCCAGTTATCCTACTGTGGCCAACGACACACATCGGCATATTTCAAGCATGGTTCAGCGTCATCACATCAGTGCCATCTGCTGCTATGATGGCGTACGTGTCGACGTGTGAGTGAGTTCAAATGAATATTTGCGGTAGAATATGCTGGTCCTTCGAGCCGAAGGGCGTTTCCGTTGAGGCTGTCCAAGCGAGTCCATCGTTGACTCTCCGGCAAGCATCCCAAGAGGACGCAAGACAGAAAAATGAATCTCGCTAAAATGACTCTTGCACAGTACGACGTGCCAAATTCTCCCAATGGATCATTGCCAGTCGAGTGCAGCAGTCATACATTGACAACGACCCAGCCGTCCAAGGAGGAAAATCACGCATGCGAGAAGACACTACACACGGGGAAACCAGGTTACCTTCATCCGAGGCAAGGAAGGCGCTCCCTGCGTTTTGCCCACCCGGAGGATGGATTCGCCCCCGTCATTGCCCGTGGCTTCATTCGGGAAACCTACGCTGGTTGACATATGGTACACGCTTCCATGGAAGTCAATACTGCTTCCACGGAAGTAAATGGCTACCTTCATGGAAGCTACACACTGTTGTCAAACAATGTAGGAGATCGCTTCGTTCGGTGTGGGTATGGCGTATGACGGCGCCTACGGAGTGAATACGGTGTAAAATCAAATGCATGCATCCGTTCCCTTCCGCCAGAAAAATCACACTCCACATTTTCTGTCGTCGTAGAGGAGCTTCACTGGATGTGTTCTGGTCTCTAGTGTAACAACTATCATACGGTATGCACGGCCATGAGTACACACACGCGTGACCACGCCACATGGGAAACCACACCGAATCATAAACTTGCCCCACATTATTCCACCTGAACAACGCACGCTCACACGCCGCAAAGCACAGCTCTTTAGTGCCCAGCACAGCCAGCAGCGACGCGCCAGCGAGACTCCAACTCCTACGCTGGCTCACTTGTGCTTCGACGCTCTCGACATCATGTCAAGGGTGAATGCACGGGCGAGAGGGCCTCTACGAGACGGCTAAAGCTGCGCCTACGCCCGGAGATATATTCCACAGGGGACTCGCGTGCGGTAAGAGTCCCACGCCGTCCGCACCAGCTCCAAGACTTCAGGGTCCACTTTCCAGCTCCTGTGCGTTTCGATTCATGTTGTGGGCGGGGAGACGGGTGTACTCATGGTTTGAATCCCATAGCTGTTAGATCATGCGTCCTCGAGAGGACGCAGACGGGGGACGTTGGCATACATGCTGTTCTGTGGAGGTAGCGTACGTAGTACAGTGCCGGCAGAGGCTTTCTTTGGCCATTTAGCCTGCGACTGACCCCGGCGCGTGGATTATTATTTCATGTGTCTTCAGGAAGGATGGCGACGGATGAAGGTAGGTCAGGGTGCTTGATCACCACAAACAACATACAGAAGGTAACGATGACGACGACACACCCACACCCCCATCACCAGCAACAGCAACAGCAACAGCAACACCAAACAAATTGTACGCCCTCGGGTTTCCATTGTGTTGTTGTTGCTGTTGTCTTTTCATTAATATCCGTTCCGATCTCCACCCATTACCTTCATCTGTCCGTACTGATTGATCTTCTAACATTTTCCGCGTTGATGACGCGATGAAGCATTCCAACTGACACTTGCCTCTTCGCGCCCGCGGTTAGGTCACTCGCCGGGGTAGGTGAAAGCTCCTGGACGGCCCACATGCAGCCCGCCCTTGCCTCGCCGGGATGTCTCCGCAGGAGCCACTGCACGACGTGCAGGTGGCCCGCCTTCGCCGCCTATTATAGCGTTGTCGTTGCAGAAAAACGTTATTGTAAGTTTGTGTTCTCCAGCAACAACAACAACAACAACAACAACAACAACAACAACAACAACAACAACAACAACAAACCTTGATGAAGGCGACCGCGCTGGGACCGACAGCGTGGTAGTGCTGGTCAAGCCAGTCGAGGACGTGCGTGTGCCCCCCGCCCGCCGCTCCGTCGAACGCGTTCCAGCTGCAGCCCTCGCTGCGGTGCTGACGGAGCCATTGGCACACCTGTTGTGGCGTACACGTTGCGACGAGTTTTGATTGGTCGACATTAAGACATCTATAGTAGCTGCAGCATTCCTCCTCATTGGCATATCATGAACATGGAGAAGATTCGATTGGTCGTGGTGAAGGCATTCTAGCCGGTGCCCTCGCTGCGGTGCCAAAGAGAGTGATTGGCATACCTGCTGCGGTACATATGTTCAGACGTTTGGACGGATTGGTCGATGTGAAGGCATCGCGTACCTTACAGGATGTGGTTGGGTCCACATCGATACCTCTCGAATGTGTCATGCATGTGACACGTGAAATACTGAATCACCGTCCTCACGGAACATGTAGTGTGCCTTGCGGCAAGGCAGCACAGGGTCTGCTTCCAAGGCAAGTGTCTATTCCGAAAGGACGCGAGGTAACGCACGGTTCGGTAATATCGCACGTGCCGGTGAAACCGAATACGTACCGGTGATATCGTACCAAAAACCCCGTTCGACAATATCTCCTCTTCAACTTGAAATAAAACCAATGACAATCCTCATGGTATCCTATATGCGTCCGAAAGCTTGCTAAAATACTACTGCGTTGATGTCCTCTTGCAAAATCGTCCGACAGCGAAATGATTAAATTTCGATTCTCGGATAGGGATCTTTGATATCGGAAGCACACTCGAAATTTCGCACCCCCGTGCGATGAACAGTCAAAGATCCAAGAAATCATTAATCAAAATCGACCACACCCCCGTGCGTTCTCCCGCATGCATCCGCACGGTAGTCGGGCGCGGGCAACGGTTGCGACTTTGGTTCTCACGGACCTGTAGGTGACCGTTCGAGGCCGCCTCATCCATCAAGCGATACGTGAAGCCGTCTTCGCCGCTCCTCCTTCCGTTGTTGGCGTAGTTGCGATGGAACCACCTGTTGTGACGGGGGAGAAAGAAGACAATCGTGCTTCGTTGCGTTTTGGAGAACAAGTAAACGAACGAAAGGGGTCGGCGGCTCGTGCGAGTTTTGACCCAGAACAGAGAGAGAGAGAGAGAGAGAGAGAGAGAGAGAGGGAGAGAGAGAGAGAGAAGAGTGCTTGCTGCAGAATATTGTATGTTTTTGCCCCACAAAAGCACTACGAATCCAGAGCAGCAGTACCAACTTTACCGAACAATATATTAGACTATGTCAATCAGTGGATAGAGATGAACTCATCTGTGATTAGAGATGAACTCGTCGTCTGTCGATGGATATGAACCCGTCTGTGGACAGAGAGATGGACTCAACTGTGGAAAAAGATCAACTCATCGTCTGTGGATAGAGATAAACTCGTCTGTGGAAAGAGACGAACTCACGCGTCTGTGGAAAGAGATGAAGTCGTCAGTGAACGGAGATGAAGTCGTCAGTGGAAGGAGATGGGTTCACTCCTCCGTGGACAAAAACGACCCCCAATGCATCTTACTTCATCGGCCAAATCTCGACCATCACCTGAGGACCCCGAGGTGGCCGTTCGCCGCGGCCCTGTCCAGCGCCGAGGGGTTGAGGACACTCGTCCCCCGGAAGAAGCTGACTCGTCCCGTCGTCGTCGCCATCAGGGGCGTGTTTCGGGCAAGCCAGTCGAGGACGCGCACGTGCCCTCCGGCGGCCGCGGCCGTGATGGCTCCGGCGGTGCCGCCCTCTGCGCGGTGGAGGTAGAGCCAGCGAACCACCTGGTCACTCACAGCGATGAAGCCGGCGATGAGAAACGTTCTAGTCTACACACGTTAGATGCGTAGTATATAGTAGTACGTTACATGACGTTAGTATGCACATCGTTCCATGAACTCCGAATCATGTGTTTGTTATGCCCGCACATGGCTTTGATGTTGATGAAAGCGTGACTATGTTTGGCAGAGCCAGCGAACCACCTGGTCACTCAGAGCGCGAAGGTGGGCATGGGGAGCGTTAACGTACGTCAGACGCTCATTTACACACGTTGAATGAAAATAGCGCGCACAAGGGTTCCGATGTTAACCGAAGTATGAATATGTTCGGTGGAGCCAGCGAACCACCTGGTCACTCACGGTGGCAAAGGCGGCCATGATGAGAAACGCACTTGTCTACATAAGTTAGACGGTTACATACGGTAGATGACGATATTGCACGCACGAGGTTCTCAAAATATTTGCGAGGTGTTATGTGGTAGCCAGCAACCACGGGTCACTCACGGCGACGAAAGCGGACATGGAAAGCGTTTACATACGACAGATGCTTATTCCACACGTTGAATGACATATGCGCGCACAAGTATCTGACCTTAACCGAAGTATGAATATGTTTGGTAGAGCCAGCGAACCATCTGGTCACTTACGGCGGCAAAGGCGGCGATGATTAGAACCATTTATCTACATGCGTCAGACATTTACATACGGTAGGTGGCATTGCACGCACGACGTCCGCAACATTTTTGCGAGGTGCTTACGGATAATTTAGGTGGTAGCCAGCGCACCACAGGTCGCTCACGGCGACGGAGGCGGGCATGAGAAGCGTTTTATGCAAGTTCTGGGCGACATTGCGCACACCCCCTGGTGATAGTGCGACTATGGCGAGAGGTGTTTATGTGAAATATTGCGGTGGAGGTACAGCCAGCGTACCACCTTGTTACTCACGGCGGCGAAGGCAGCGAAGAAAAGAGGTAACGTACTAATGTATGGCGCTTGATTTTCGTTCTCTCCATTATTGCGAGGGTCATCATACATGAAGATCCGTTGTGAAGGCAGCGCCAGTGAACCACCTGATCACTCACGCGACGGAAGCGGGGATGAGAGCGTAACCTAGGCATTGCACACCGCAAGGTCACGGTGTTGGGGAGGTATGTAGGCTACGCTAAATTCTGCTGTGGAGGTAGAGCCAAAGCACCACGTGACTGATCACCACGAGAAGGCGGCGACAAGAAGCGTTGCTATGCCGTGGGTGGCATTGCACACACACAGTAGTGGAGGTAGAGCCATCGTACCACCCCATCAGTGACGGCCGACGAAGGCGTGGGTGAGAAAACGCACATACGGTAAATGTTAACATACGTTAGGCGACATTGTACGCACAGCGTTGTCAATGCTAGCGAGGTGCACATGCAAAAATCGACAGCTAGTACAGTACAGAACGGGCGCGGAGACAAGAAGTTTCGAAATCGGGCCGCCGAGGCTCAGTTCCCTATTTTCATCATATAGATCTTGGTACAGGGTTCACCTAGCTGGGTTGTGATTATTAGCCCTTCTTCAAAAGCTGCCCTGGAAATATATTTGAGCTTCTGTTTCCTTACGACATATTTCGTGGCTTCGGGCACGAACTGTAGTAGGCTGTTCCAATGCAATGGCGGGAGAGAGAGAGAGAGAGAGACAAAGAGAGAGATTGAGAGAGCAATATACCGCGGGACCAATCACACACCTCTAGATGACCGTTCCCGGCTGCACGATCCACCGCGTCCGTCGACATCGTCACCCGGAATCGATTCCTCCCCGCCCCCACGGCCAGTCCTGCTGCGCCGCCCGCACCCCTCGCTTCGGGGCGCCGCCGATGCTCCGCCGCGACACCCCCCCCATGATCTCCGTAGAACCGCCGAGTCGACGAGGGGCAACGGTGCTGCCTTCCCCTCCATCCGCTGTCGTCTACGGAAGAAGAGGGGGTAGCGCGTGTGTCCACCTCGCAGCAACAGCAGCGGCAGTGGTCACAGCGACCGGCCGTAGCAGCGGCGGCGGCGTCGTTGCCACCAGGGGAGCGAAATGGAACAGAGAGGAGAGCAGCAGCAGCAGCAGCAGCAGCAGCAGCAGCAGTAGCAGCAGCCGTCCCCGGGACCGAAGCCGGCGACGCCGCCGCAGCGGAGGCAACTACCGCTCTCGTCCTCTCCATGGCCGCCGTGGAGTAGGCCAGCGTGACGCTCCCGCTGCGCCCATGGACACGGCGGCGGCGGCGGCGGCGGCGGCTTCTGCCGCTACGCCAGCAGCAGCAACAACAGCAGCCAGGCGGTGGAAACGAATCTCTCTTCTCCTCCGCCCCTTCCTGTTTCTTTCCCTCTTCGCTCCATGGCACCCTTTCGTCCTCGCCATACCCTCCCGCGTCCTCCTGTGTTTTTTCCTCTTCACCCCATGGCTCGTCCTCTTCCCCGCCGCCGCCCTTTCCTCCGCCCCCGCAAGGAAGAAACGGGAGATTGTAGGAGAAGTCCTCCTCTGCCTCCCCGCTGTACTCCGGCCCCCTCCTCTTTTCCTCCGCGCTCCCAATCCTCCCCTCTTCGCCGCAGTCGCAGCAGCAGTAGCAACCCCCGCCTGGAGCATCCCGCGGGAAGAACCCCTCTTCTTCCCCATCCTCCTCCTTCTTTTCCTCCTGCGCGCTGCTCCTCGAAAGGTTCCCGAGGCCGGCCGGCCGCAGCAGCCGGGGCGGTGGCGGCAGTGGCGGCATCTTAGACAGCCTCGTGTCTAACGAAAAGCGGTGGCGGGCACCACACGAAGGAGGAGAAGGAGCGCCGTCCATCGTCGCTCTCCGCGCCCACTGCAGGACTGCAAGCCTTCCCTCCGCCGCCGCCTCGTCCAGGTCCAGCGTTACCACCGCCGCGACCCCTTCGCCGCCGGCTAGCAGAAGCCCGTCGATGACATCCGCCCCGGCCCCCGCCGCCGCCGCCGCTCCCGCCCCCGCCCCCGCCCCCCCAGTCGCTGTCGACGACGGCGCACAGNCCCCCGCCCCCGCCCCCGCCATATCGTCTCCATCGTCACCGCCGTGTACGTGCGCGTCGACGACGCCCGCGCCGCCGGTTTCCGCGCCGGCGGCGCCGGCGGCGAAAAGCGCCGCCTCCAGCGGGGACAGCAAGGGCGGCGGCGGCGGCGGCGCTAAGGCGTTCGCGGGGCGAGGAAGATTGCGACGACGATCACGACGATCACAGTAGCAACAACAAACGGCTTCGATGCCGCCACCACCGCAGCCTCCGGCGATGGCGTTGCCGTTGCCGTGGCAGCCGCGGTAGCCACCGCAGGAGTCTCCCAGGCCACCGCCGCGGCCGCCGCCGCCGCTCCCAGCGGCGGAGCATGAAAACGGAGGGCAGCCGCCGCCGCAGTCGCCACCGCCGCAGTCACCACCGCCGTAGTCGCCGCCACCACAGTCCCCGACGCCGCAGGAAAAACAACAACAACTGCTTCTTCCCCTTCCCCATCCTCCTCCTTCTCTCCCCCCCCCCCCCCCCCCCCCCCCCCCCCCCCCCCCCCCCCCCCCC